ATAGAGCTCTACCTTTCTCTGCCTCCCAAGTGCTGGGACTAAAGACATGTGCCACCACATGCAGCTTTGGATGTCTATTCTTGTAAATGAACTTTGATTGGAGTGCTGTTATGTATTTTCCATGGTTGTTTTGGACTACAATGACAAAGATGAGTAATTCAAAAAGCTAAAGTTACTACAGAAGCCATGTGGCCCATAAAGTCAAAAATATAGACTATTTGTTCTGTAAAGACAAAATCCGCCAACCTTTGATCTATGGAAATTTACTTAAGACAGAGATATTTCTTCCTGTGTGCCCTTTTGACAGTTGATGATAGCCAATACACCAATCTTTGATAGAAACAGTTACCTGAGGTAGACTGTTAATAGTACAAACCCTTGACCCTTTATTTATTTGATCAGTTGCCTATCAGAATGAAAAAAACAAACAATAACAATAGCAATAACAACTGACCATCTGAGTTCAATTGCTGAAATCCACAGTGTGGAGAGAATCAACTCCATCAGGTTTCCTCTGACCCCTAAACACATATTATGTTACACACACACACACACACACACACACACACACACAGATAAATAAATATGGCTGGATGGTTGACATATTCCTTTAATCCTAGCACTTGGGAGGTAGAGACAGGCAGATCTCTGTGAGACTGAAGTCAACTGGTCCACATAGTGAGTTCCAGGCCAGCTGGGGCTACAAAGTAACCCTGTCTCAAAAACCTAAACTAATAAGTAATTTAAAAATGCAAAAAAATTTAAGCCACCAACATTTAAAAAGACTGTATGCCAACGAGACTGAACATTCATGTAATTTGAACATTGTTCTACTTTGATAACATATTAAAAACCAGCACTTGTTGAATAAACTATTTTATAATATGAAATACTACTTAAAGTATATTAAGCTTGTTTGAGATCTTTCTTGATAAAATGACAGCCCTGAATGGTTGCTGTGAACTCCTCAGGAGTTGGGAAAATATACAGAAACAATATTAGAGTGAAGAAAAATGTGTACCAGTTTTATATGTAAAAAACAACAGACTCAATGTTTTAATATTTGGTTTTAGAAATAAGTTTCTAGAAAAAGAGATCATTTTGTGCTAATACACCTGAAGTTTGTTTTTTTTTTTTAAATCTGGAGTTGGAGAAACGGTTCAGGGGTTATGAGCACTTGCTGCTCTGGCAGAGGACCCCTGGTTTAGTTCCCAGCATCTGCATGGTAACTCTAATCCCAGGAGATCCAATGACCCCTTCTGATCTCTGCAGGCACCAGGCACACACGTAGGGCAATAAACATAAATGCAGGTAAACACTCACACACACAAATTTTTTTTTTAAATTCAAGCTGATAGAATACAGATGATTATTCCATATTCTCTACTGCTCAAAAGCATTGAGGGAAAAACTAGAGGCCCATTCAATTCTTCTGTTTGTGGGTTATCCAATAAGCAAAAAAACCCAAATATCAAAGATATAACTAACTATTTTTATAATAATGCTGAGGAAGCTCCAACAGGCTACTTACTTTCACAAGCACACATGTGTCCACAAGGTTGAAAAAGAACAGCTGCTTTCTTGTCAGAGCACACCACACATTCTTCAATCTACAGTAAAGGAGGGAAAGCAGGGAGAACAAAGAAAGCAAGTAACTTTAACAGTTTATGCCCACATGTACTTCCACTGTAAGGAAGCTCTGGAGCACAGAAAAGCCGAACCTCATCCCTGTCCTCTGCTCTCCTCAGCTGCTCATTTTCACATCTTCAAGTTCCCTAGCTTAACAGGTGCTGTTTCTGCATTCCTCTTCCTTCCCAACCTAAAGAACTGTACAAAAAGATTCCATCTGTTTCCTGAGACAGAGAGATGGGGCCAAACTTCAATTCCCTCCCCCCAAATTACTTTGAGGGAACATAAAGAAGTACTACAACATGCCAGATGTGGTGGCACATGCTTTTTTGACTCCCAGCATTTAGGAGGCAGAGACCATTGGATCTCTGTGAGTTAGAAGCTAGCCTGATCTACATAGCAAGTTCAAGGCCAGCCAGTGCTAAGCAGTAGACCCTGCCTCAAAAAAAAAAAAAAAAAAGTATTAAAACAAATGACTGGGAAGACTAACAAGAATACCAAAATACCTAGCCAAATGAGTCAAAAAGTCCAAGAGGAATTTTTGTGTTACCACCAACTAGGGAACTCTTAGTAAAAGTCTGGTTTTCAGAGCTTGGCCAACTCCCATGCTGGTTGCAGCCCAAAGCTCCTGGGCTATTCCTTTGCCCGATCGCTAAATCCACAGGTATTCCACAACCTATTTATAATTTCCACCTGACCTCTTCCACAACCCCTACACATACATTCTGAGTAACCAGGAACAGCCTTGGCGTCTGCTTCTTCTTCACTCCCACCCACCCCACAGCCTTCACTTCACACGTGACTTCCATGTGGCCTTCCCCTTCCCAACACACAGACACTAACCTAATTTAGTGTTACTGTCTAGAAATGATGACCTCTCGCCTAGAGCACCACCCAAGCACTTAAATACCCAAGCTTGCCTGCTTTCATGCACGTGTGCACTCCCAACTTAGGTATGATTCAGTATGTACATGGAGTCAGTGTGGTAAAATTTGGTTGATCTGTGATTCTATGACTGAAAAAATCACCAAAAATACTAATAAATTGTTAACATTATTATATTAAAAAGAAAAATCTTTCTAACTATAATCTTCCCCTTCTGGATTATTCCCTGGGGTTATATTCCCACGAGGAGAATTCCCAAAGACTTTGTTACAGTAAAGCTCTGTGTATAAGATGGCTCCCATCTTGTTTACAAAGTGATCATTTCCCACTTTTATTGTTAGCACTTTAAAAGAAATAGTTTATGTTAACTTGTAATTTGTACTTCTCTAATTGCTAAAGAATGCAAGTGATTCTTCTAAGAATATCCCTTCCTCTAAACACTAGTTTTAGAATTTGCCTTTCTTCAATGAAGATGTTGGTTATCCTTTAACCACTTGGGGTCACTATTTACTTAGGCTCAAAGGCTCTGTTATTAAATCAGCCAATCTGTTCAGTTGGCCACTTAAGTTTTTTGTACTTTTTCACAGGTTTGATGTTTAGGTTGTGAACCTGAGCTTTCAATGGCTAAGCCATCTCTCCAGCCCATTCCACAGATTTGAAAACTTCATAGTGTATAACACAAAGTACAAAACTAAATACATCTTGAAGTTCTAGAGGACTCTGAAAGAAAAATATATGACTATTATCTTTAATTACTATACTTTAGATATAAAGAAGGAAATACAGCTCAAACTTTTGAGAGTTAGAAAACGTGTAAATAGACATGGGAAAGTGGGTAACAAACTTCAACCTTACCTAGGAAGTACTGGCAACTGATGGCTGCTAGGAGGGGGAGAGTCAGGATCTCTAAGGGTGAGACTTTGGGTAGGCTGACCCAGTGCACTTGAAGGGCATTTGGGGAACAAATTTGACTCTATAGGCCTGCACCTCTCAGAGATCTCTGTCTGTACATGAAATTGGGGGGGGGTATTAGTGCAGACTGGGAGGGGATCTAAACATGATCAAAACAGGTATGAAATTCAAAAAAATTCAAAAAATTATATATACAAAATAAAATTAAATTCAGATACTAATGAACGTAACAAAGTATACTAGTAAGATTAAATGAGCAATCAATTCAGAAACTCTGAAGTGATCTCTTTTTGTTTTTTTGAGACAGGGTCTCCCCATAGCCTCATCTGATCTGAAACGCACTATGTAGACCAGACTGACTTCAGTCTCACAGAGATCTGTCTGCCTTTGCCTTCCAAGTGCCAGAACTAAAGGCATGCACCATCATGTCTGGCTGAATTGATTTCTTAATAAATGTACAAACTATGTATTCCTAATTCAAAAATTATTTGGAGGAGCAGGACCATACAAATGATATCACATAGTCATATATCATTAGTTCTGGTCTCAAAGAACTTGATAAAACAATAAACACATTATCACATACACATTACCTTTGTTCTGGACTGAACTTGTTCTTTACAGATGAGGCATTTCTTGACACGAGGAGAACACAAAGAACAGGTCGCAATGTGCCCACATGGACCAAAAAGAGTATCTCTCTTCATGTCTGAGCACACCATACACTCCTCTAAAGTTTCAGAATCATTACTGATCATAGAAGGACTCCGAGAGCCCACTTGGCCACTGAAAAAAAAAGTATCTCCAATCAAACTCATCCAAATATTTTTTAATATTTTATTTATTATTTTATTTTATGTGTATGAGTGTTATGCCTGCATGTAAGTAAGAGCACCCATGTCATGCAATTCCCGCAGAAGACAGAAGAGGCTGTCAGATCCCCTGAAACTGGTGGTATAGACAGTTGTTAGCTGTCATGTGGGTGTTGGGGTTCAAACCCAGATCTTCTGCAAGAACAGTCTGTGTTCTTAACCACTGAGCCATCTCTCTAGCCTCTCTCATCCAAATATTTCTAAACAAATTCATTAAAATTTTTAAGATGTCCAGAGTATCATTAATATACATAACAGTTTTTCTTTAAAAATTAGATGTTAACAGCTTTATGAGAACCTTGTATTTTTCTATTTATACACATCCCTACATCTTCATATACTTCTAATATTAGTCAATCTTCAAATTTAATTAAGACTCACTCAATGAAAAGGGTGAATCTTCTAACAAAGAAATAAAAAACATTAGCAAAAATACTTACTATACACAAAATTTAATTTGAAACCTGTTCTATCTATATAGAACTAGCAAAGAAGTCACAGGACTAAAACAAAAATCCTAAATAGAAATCAGTGTAGTAACTAGGTAAACATCAGAGTTCATAAAAGATAAGACACTTTGAAATATAGGATACTTCAGCTGTTGTTCTGACATTTAAGCATTTACTTCAAGAAGATAAAATTCTACTGTGAAAAGACAATGTATCTAATAAATATACAGATACAGACATAGAAATACATGTATGTATGACTAATTACAACTACAGAAAATGAAAATAAGTTTCAGAAACTCATGAACAAAACACATATGGGGTTCATCTTAAGACTCCACTGTTCAAAGTCAATAATTAGAATGCCTCATATCTATTTATAGGTACAGAATTGTCTTCCTATAAGATTTTAAGTTCCTGAAACACACTTTACAAATATATACAATACTTGTTAAATTATATTCACATGCACACTCTTCATTATCTTCCTTTCACCTATCACACAGTTCAGTGCATGGATTCCAAAGCAAGGCTATGTCATCATGTACATAAATTACAGGAGAGGTGACAGTACAAAAGTAAAGAACAGCTACCAGAATGGCCAGTGATAAGAGGCTTAAAGGGCAATAATATATGCATAGCTCTATTTGGATTAAAAAATAGATGTCTTTTTTTATGTCTATATCTCAGTTAAGAAAACATTTATATTGAAAATAATAATTAAAATTACTTTCAGAAAAAGAAAAATGTCAAATCACTGTCTTTAGGGAAAACCCCACAATAAACAGACTGACTCATTTGTTCATTCTTTTCATCCTTTATTGATACTGAAGGTCTCCAGGCTCTCCATGAGGGTGCTAAAATTACTATAAGCTTTTTACAAGGTCTACTCTGTTTATAGGAGGAAACTGCCTGTGCTGGATAGCTTTACTTGTCAACTTGACACACCTGGGTAGAGGGAGCCTCAATTGGGGAATTGCTTCCATTGGACTGGCCTGTGCCACTCCTGGGCAGGTGTTTCTGAATTGAATAAGAAAGCAGGCTAAGGAGCAAGCCAGTAAGCAGTGTTCCTCCATGACCTGTGCTCCAGCTCCTGCCTCCAGGTTCCTGGCCTGAGTTCCTACCTTGGGCTCCCTAACTGATGAACTGTGTGTGACCTGGGAGATCTAAGATAAAATAAACCCTTTCCTCCCCAAGTTGATATTGGTCAGAGTGTTTTGTCACAGCAACTGAAAGCAAACCAGAACACTGCCCTTCTTAGGAAACTATTAAATTTTAAGTGCATAACATTAATCATAAATTCTTACTAGTTTTACAACTTTGCCTTATAAATTCTAATAACATATAGGATTCCTAGACTAGTTTTAAAAGTTTCTGAAGTTTACTATGCACCAAGTAGTGAACATAATAATGTGGGGAACATAACATGAAATAAAAAACATGCTACCTGAAGGAAATGTTTCCAAGGAAGAAAGGGGGCAATACAAAGAATTTCAAAGATAAAGACATTTCAAGTACTCAAGCCCTCTGTGAGGAAACTACACAATATTTTATAAACATATTACCAAGTTATGTGATAAGAAATTACAAACCTGACTTTTTCCTTATGACATTTTGCTAGCACTTTGCAGAGACTTGGGTCAGGACAGAGATCAAGTGGAGACTGGCCCTTCTTATTTCGGATGCTGAGGTCTGCCCCATTGGCTGCCAGGAAACAGGCAATCGATGCTGCACTCTTCTTCTCTGCCCCCTGGGTACCAAGTCCCATGATTAACTGAAATTAAATGGGAAGAGTCATGATTTTCCCTTTAGGAATCTGCTATCAATTGTCACCCTCAATACATATGCACTGGATATTTATGACCTTTAATCTTAATATGGAATCCTCTTGCTCCCTTCCCGTGATTTTCTGAGGCACATTAGTTTGAAAAGTGACTCTTTTCCAATGTACAAATAGACCAAAGATGGCTCAACCCAGGTGGCTATCCACCTCCCGTATAGCTGATTTAGAGACTAACACAGAACCAAAGTCAAGTCAATTAAGACCAAGAAGACTCAAGCACAGGACTTCTGGCTGAGATACTGAAGAAAGAGTATGTTTGTTTCTATATAATTCAGCTCTAGAGCTGCCAGCCAACTTACTCAAAATAGTGAGGAAAAAGAAATCAATGCCTATGAATCAAGCCAAAAGATAGAGAATGAGACTAATAATCAGGTTCTAATTGTATTATCTGAGCTACTGATCCAAACATATCTGAAAACAGTTAAAATAACTATCAAGAGCCACTGAGCATCACCTGTCTTAAGCACTTTTTATCATCTTTCTATATGTAATAAAGTACTCCCCTTCTCAATTTTAACATAGAAAAAAAAGGAATAAAGGAGTTAAGAGAACATAACCACAGTCATACAATAAGATAATAATTCTCAAACATTTTGGCCACCACACCCAGCTCAGACACATTTATACTCTTAAAAATTGTAATAAAGGGGGCTGAAGAGATGGCTTAGCAGTTAAGAGCACTGGCTGTTCTTGCAGAAGACCCAGGTTTGAATCCCAGCAACCACATGGCGACTAACAACCATTTGTAACTCCAATTCCAGGGAATCTGATGCCCTCTTCTGTCCTCTGAGGGCACTTCATGACACAGGTGCAATTACATACATACAGGCATAATACTCATACACATAAATTTTTTTTTTTCGGTCTTTTTGAGACAGGGTCTCCCTATAGCCCCAGCTGTCCTGGAACTCACTATGCAGACCAGGCTGGCCTTGAACTCAGACATCCGCCTGCCTCTGCCTCCCAAGTGCTGGGATTAAAGGTGTGTGCCACCACGCTCATCGAAACAAATATTTTTAATGAAATAAAATTAATATAGAAAGGTTTCAAATAGCCAAACAAATCAAAACAATTTTTAGAGGACTTATACTGTCTGTTTCACTTCAACAATGACAAATGCTAAATTACAGTTACAAGACATTTGAACAGGCATCAATACAGGTAAGAACAGTGACCAAAAGAACAAAATACAGGCTGCAAAAAGAAACTTTCATATTATGGTGAACTTTCATTTCATAGCAAGGAAGAGGACATCACCTGATCATCAGACTGATCATATAAAGAAAGAGAAACTATTCAGCAAATGGTCCAGAAAATGGACAGCTGGATATCCACCAGTGACAAATGAACTTTGATCCATGCCATACTACATCAAAAAGTTACAGGAAAAATAAATCTAAACTTTATAAGTTTTAGCACAAAACAAGAAAAAGTCTTGGTAACCTTCTGTCTGACAAGAATTTCTCAGAACACAAAAACATAAAAAAATTAAGTTTTTGATAAAAATTAGATTTAATCAATATTAAGTAGTTCTTCAAAACCACTGCTAAAAGTTGGGCATAGTGGTTCACACCTATAATCCCAGCCACTCAAAAGGCTAAAGCAGGATGATCAAGAGTTTGAAGCTAATCTGGTAACACAGTGAGACCTCATCACAAAATGCCACTGTTAAAAGAAGGAAAAGAGACACATGTGCAGCACAATACATCTCTTGTCATGCCTGCATTATCCCAAGACACTGCTGGCAAGGAAGAGGACATCACCTGATCATCAGACTGATCTTGGACCTCTAGGTCCACTGGGATTCAGAAAAGCATCTTGGAACCCCTGGATCAAATGGAGCCTTACCTCTAACAGCTTTCTAAGAAGAATGGAATCCGGGTTTGTGGAGAAGGTAAGAGAGATCAAACATTCACTCTGGAATGCCCTCTACTGAGGACAGAAGTGCAGTTCCATCAGCAGTTACACACCTAGCTGGTGCACTTGCAGTTACAGCCTTTCTCTTCATTTTTTAAGAACTGTAATCAGAGGACAAATGCCTCTGATAGGATATATGGTTACACACGTTTGCACGTTTGTTGTTTTAGGGGTTTTTTGTTTTGTTTTGTTTGAAACAGGGTCTCCCTATAGCCCTAGCTGGGCTGGAACTCACTATGTAGATCAGATTGGCCTCGAACTCAGCAGATATCTGCCTGCCTCTGCCTCCTGAGTGTTGGGACTAAAGGCATGTGCCATCAAGCCTGGCTTTTGTTTTATTTGAGACAGGTTCTCACTCTAGGTCAGGCTGACCTGGAACTCATTACGCAACACAGGCTTGCCACAAATTTGCAGCAACCCTCCTGTCTCAACCTCTTGAGTGCTGGGATTACAGGCATCAGTCAGCATGCCTGGCTTTCTTTATATAATTCTTAAAAATAACTTTTAAGGCCGGGCGTGGTGGCGCACACCTTTAATCCCAGCACTTGGAAGGCACATAACATGGGTGCACTTACCTACACGTAGGCAATACACACATACACATTAAAAAATAATAATAATAATAAATAAATAAATAATATATATATATCTTTTAAGTTTATTGACTAAGCTATCATTTCTATATGAAAAAATTCAGAGTATTTTAACAATTATTATGCTCCACCACCATCCCTAAAAGACGGAAGATGAGGAGGAGGCAACAGTGGCAGCAAAGGCCACAGACCAGAGGAAAATATAGATGTATTACATATCTAATAATAACTTGTAATAACTTGTTTTCAGACTACATAAACATTTTTGACACAATAAGAAGAAAACAAAGACTCAAGTCAGTGGAGAGGGTTGTCTAGCATACACAGACCCTAGGTTCAATCTCTAACACCTCAAAAAATAAAACCAAAAGGAAAAAAATGTATTCAAAAATTATAATGGAAAAGATTTGAGCAGATAGTTCATCAAATATATGTGGTATCAAGCAAATAAAGAGCTGGTCCATATGAGAAGGCACTGGAGATTTCAAATTAAAATCACAACAAAATACCACTCTACCCCTAACTGTATTGCTGAAGTTAAAAAGAACCAAGTAATTTTGGATGAGCTGTGGAATAATGTGCTTAGTAGTGACTCGTATTAAAGTTCACAAACCCAAGTTCTAAGTATGTGGCTCTGATATCTGTGGATATTTTATCCAATTCAGATTAGCTAAGCAGTAAATATAGGGTATTTCTACTGGTCATGATGAAAGATTATCTTTACTTACTGTGTTTTTTGATGGTTCCCAGGCAGCATCTACCTTCCCCACATCTTGCATATCTTGTAGCTGGCGTAGTTGAGACAAAGTGTGATGCCTCAGAGCTTCATGCAAAGGTGTATCGCCATCCTTATCCTGAATGTCTAGTTTAGCACCTGCACGGACCAAAAGCTGGGGGGGGGGGGCATCATTTGGATTAGGTGTCCACAGCCCTAAGAACCTACAGCCCATCTACAGTAACAGTGTGTACTCTGGGTCTACTTAAAGGAGCTGTCACTAGAGCTAAGAATTTTTATGTCTTTGCTTTCTACTATTTGACAGTTCCATGTCTCCTTAGAAAGAGTTATGTGTTCTGCTTACTATCTACTCTAAGTGTATCTACTCTAAGATGACAACTGAGAGACACCTAGGACTTTTTTTCCTTCCTTTTAGTATTGAGGTATTTCAAGTTCTTCTACCAGTACCATATCATAATATTCACACTTTCCCTATTTAAGCAAACAAGTAAAAATTAAAATTTATTTCATTCTCTTTGGTCAACTTTCTCAAGAATGAATGATTAGGACAAAACCCAACTATCATGCAAGATAAATGAATTCTGGCAAGAAAATTTCAAGTAATAAATATGAAGGTTGCTAAACAATAAGAACTTGGAAAAATGCATAACTATTTTTATTACATGATGGAGAATCTAGGTTTACTTAAGATTTCTCTTTGATACTTTAACAATCCTCCTAATCCTTTCTACTAATACCATCAAAGAGCTTTAAGAGAAATGACATCCATTGAAACCAATCTCAGAATATGGTCTTGTCTTTTCAAATCAAACTTTTTGTCTTTGGTTTTTTTTTTGTTCCAAAAGTTACATAAAATGTCACATATTTCTCAAATCTGGTGTCAGAAAATCAGCTAAACCAGGGTTTGCCCACCTTGGTCATCAAGTCTGTCTAGATTTGGAACCACCTAGGAGACATACCCCTGGGTGTGTCTTTGAGGTAGTGTCTAGATTTAGCTGAGGAGGGAAGACTCTACCCTGAATGTAGGTGGTTCCATGCCAAACTAAACAAAAAGGGCAAAGAGAACACAGCTGAACACCAGTATTCCTCTCTCTGCTTCCTGACTGGGGACACAACCTGACCAGCCATCTCATGTTCCTGCTGTCATACCTTCCCTGTCATGATGGACTGTATCCCCTCAAACTAAACCAAAATAAACCCTTCCTTCCTTAAATTGCTTTTGTCAGGTTACTGAGTAACTAATAATTAGCCCCACACAGGTTCTGATCCCACAGGTCTGAGGTAGAATTCAAGAATTAACTTTTCTACCAAGTTTCCAGGGACTACTGTGTAGCCACTTCAATTTCCCAACTTTCAAGAATTACTGCTCTGGGGCTGGAGAGATGGCTCAGCAGTTAAGAGCACTGACTGCTCTTGCAGAGGACCTGGGTTCGATTCCCAGCACCCACATGGCGACTATGAACAACTCCAGTTCCGGAGGAGCTCCGACATCCTTGTCTGACCTCCATAGCATTGCAAGGCACAGGTGCACGCACATACATGCAGACAATACACTCGTACACATAAAATAAAAATAATAAATAATTTTTTTTTAAAAAAAAGAATCACTGCTCCATAAAAATATTCAAACCCAAGCAGCATGATGGTGCATACCTTTAATCCCAGCACTCAGGATGCAGAGGCTGTCTATGACATCAGGGTCAGCCTGATCTACTTATTGAGTTCCAGGCTAGCTGGGGCTACAGCGAGACTCTTGTCTCAGAAAGACCAAAATAAACATTTTTTTCAGCTATTTTGTTTGGAATCACTCAATTAGTAAAATTAAAGTATATATTTCAAGCTGGACCTTGTGGCATACGCCTTTAGTCCCAGCACTTGGGAAGCAGAGGCAGGCAGATCTAAGTGAGTTCAAGGCCAGCCTGGTCTATATAGTGAGTTCCAGGACAGCTGGGGCTACAGGAGACCCTGTCTCAAAAGACCGAAAAAAAAAAAAAATAAAAGCTGGGCATAGTGGCATGTGCCTTTAATCCCAGCCCTCGGGAGGCAGAGGCAGGCGGATCTCTGCGAGATTGTGGCTACCTTGGTTCACACTGCGACTTTCAGGTGCGCTGTGACCAGGAAGACCTTGTCAATTTGTAGCAGCAAGTTTGCAGCCAAAACTTTTTTAAACTATTTTTTATTGAATTTCTGTGCATTTCATACATCTTAATAATCATATTTAGATCCCCTTCCCCCTACCAGAACATACATTCTGTCATATATGTTAAGACCTATAAAGTCAAGTTTGTGTCCCCAGATGTCCCTTGGTGTGAGTTTACCCACTGTAGCCTAGTCAGTCCATCTAGCATCACTCCCTTAAATAAAACCAGCTCTCCCTCACCCAGCGGTGATCAGCCAATAGTTCCTAGCTAAGGCTGGGGCTTCTTACCCATTTCCCCACATCTATGCTGGGTTTTTGTCTAGTTTAATTTTGCATGGGCCTTATGCATCTTATTCAAAACTTTTAATTTGCAGTTTATTATCAATTATACACATTAAGAGGGGATTTTTTTTTTTTTACTAATTATGTTACTTTTAAATTTTCATACTTAACATTATGGGAATTCACAAATCTGACAACAATAGAATAAGAACTTTGAACTCAGAACTTTTTTGCTACTAAATAGTAAAACTCTTTTATCTAATGGACACAAGACAAAGTTTTTTCTCCTCCAAGTATGCCTTTTTGAGAAACAGTATCATTTCAATGTTCACAATGTCTAAAACTCAGTATGCTTGACTGTTAGAAGCTAAATTGACAACAATTAATACTTTACCCTAACTATCTGGGTGTGCTGTCGTTCAACGGCAAGGTGTAGGGCGGTTTGCTGGTTCACATTCTGGATATCCAAGTTTGCATTTCCCTGAACAAGAAGAAGCGATCTTAATGGTTACACACTGGCAATAGTGAAGAACACGAAAACCGTTAGCTATTCATAAGGAATAAATAACACTGGGCACTATTGACCACTTTCTCTTCCTTTGAAGTTGTTGTGACATTGTTCTCATGCAGTAAAATGTGCTGTGTATATGGAAAAAATTAATGAGGCAGGAGACCTACAAGCAAATTTAAAAACAAGTATTTCTATTACAATAATTCTATCTAGGAATAGTTCGAGGACAAAGTGCAGTGTGGCGCTCCTATCTCTTCCATATACTGAGAATTCAATTCCTTTGAACTGCAAACACTTCTGAAAAGTAACTGTGTCTCCATATAGGATTTAGAGTTACTTTAATGACTTGATAAGTTTACTTCCTCCTGTTGTATAATTGAGCTCTTCCTCATTCAGTGAAAAGAAACTCGCTTGAAATGAGAAGGCAGGGATAGGAACTAAAATATGAAAACAGTTATTAAAGGGAGAGCAAGAAGTCCTATCCAGGGTCCTGGGGAGCCAATGTACTATGAAAGATGCTAAGACCTAAGCACAGGGAAAGAGAACCAAGAACAGCTTGGTTTAAGCTCTGTGATTTGCAAGCCATGTACATTTTGTAAGCATTTCACCATCGCATGCCCTTTTCTTCTGTTTCAAAATGGCATGATAATATAACCTATTTCGCAGGGCTGATATAAGTGTTAAGAAATATAATACAAAATTGTGCCTAATACGATGCCTGGTATAACAAATAAAAATTAAGAACAGGCCGGGTGTGGTGGCACACGCCTTTAATCCCAGCACTCGGGAGGCAGAGGCAGGCGGACCTCTGTGAGTTCAAGGCCAGCCTGGTCTACATAGTGAGTTCCAGGACAGCTGGGGCTACAGGGAGACCCTGTCTCAAAAAGACCAAAAAAAAAAAAAAAAAATTAAGAACAGTCAAAGATTCAAAATATAGACTCTTATTGGGATATTTTTTTATTTATTATTCTTATTTTATGTCTACCAGTGTATTGCCTGCACATAAGTGCACCCATGCCATGCAATGCCTGCAAAGGTCAGAAGAGGGCATAGAATCTCCTGGAACTGGGGTTACGGACCATCATTAGACACCATGTGGGTGCTGGGAACTGAACTCAGGTCTTCTACCAAGAGCAGCGAGTGCTCTTAACCACTGAGCCATCTCTCCAGTACCAAAAGATTTACTCTTTATTTTGTTTAGGTCTTAGCACCAGTCCTGCCCTCAAAACACAACTCTGACAGTCTCTCCTGTACCCTTGCTTGAGCCATCTGGCAGAGCTGAAACTCCAGTAATGTTATACCATATGCTAAAAGCAAACATTTCTGATTTGCTCTAATGATAGTATTTATGGTTTTCTTTGACTGGTCATGAGGTGCCTGATTCTCTTGTCCCGCCTATTTTATGCAAAGGTGAACTCTGGGGTAGATTAAGAACCAGTGTTAGAGGGCAAGACGTCTCAGTGGGTAAAAGCACCTGCTGCTAAGCCTGACGCTCTGAGCTCAATTCTCAAGACTCACATGGGGGAAGAAAAGAATCAACTCCCAAGGACTGTCCTCTGCCACACATGAATAAACAAGTAAATGGGGTAGGGGAATCAGTATTAGCCAGGCAGAATGAACATGAAAATGCAATTCCAGCACTCAGGAGACTGAGGCAGGATACTGAGTTTGAGGTAAGCCTGGACCACATAGCAAGACTGTTTCACGGAAACAAAAACAACCAGTTTAGAAGGCAGAGCATGCATTATGTCAATTTTCATTATCACAGGGTTTTACTGCAGCCTACTAATAGGCACTTGGTAAAGTAATATTAAAGAATTAGAATGCAGGGGCTGGAGAGATGGCTCAGCAGTTAAGAGCACTGACTGCTCTTGCAGAGGACCCAGGTTTGATTCCTAGCATCCATATGATGGGTACGAACCGTCCTTAACTCCAGTTCCAAGGGATTCCAAAGCCCTCTTCTGACCTCCGCAGCATTGTACAATATGGGTGCACTCACATACATGCAGGCAATACACTCATACACATAAAATAAAAATATTTTAAAAAATTAGAATGCTCCACATTTGCTAGAAAATCCCTGAACTGCTTTCCCCACCTGATGTACCAGCAGTTCAGCCACTTCCACATGATTATTCAGGGCAGCCAAATGCAAAGCTGTATAGCCGTCATCTTTCTTCTCATCCACAATCCATGGTCTTGGTAATTTCGATAGCAAAACTCGCATTGCACTGAAAGGCAAATTCACAGTATTTTTACACTTAAATAATATGGTTTCTTAGTTTTTTTAGAAAAATATATTCAAAAGATTTTTTTTGTAAACAAATGGAGATTTTTTTTTTTTAAATAGAAAATCATGTCCTTAGAAGTAGATAGAAATTCAGTTACTCTTATTCTCAAATGAGTAGCTTTTGGTATTTTGAGAGCTAAACAACTATTGCCATTTGGGGGAACAGAGTCAAAACAGACTGTGAGTGTTACAAGGGAAAAACACTGCCAGAGGAAAAAAATCCAAAGAAGAAAGGAATAGCTCGAGAATGCAATTTTGGCCATATGGAATCTCTTAGGCTCAATTTCAATAGTTTCTATTCATCAAAGACTTAATAAATAACTGTCAGGTAGCAAGATCAATAAAGTAGGAAGAACAGTGATAAGACAAATTATACGTGGTCTACAGATTGCTATGAATGGTAGAATATAAGTTTATTGTTAAAATTCAGTTTTGATCAAACGCACAAAGTGGCTATAAAATTCCATATTTACAATTGTTAACAATTTTCCAAGCTCCACCCCCAAAAGACTCAAAGTTATTCTAAAGAGCATCAAAGATTTACACATGTAAGAGTAAGAAAACAGGAAAACCAAATTATTAAATGAATGTTTTCTTTAAAAAAAAAAAATACCCAGGGGTTGGAGAGGTGGCTCAGCAATTCAGAGCACTAGCTGCTCTTGCAGAGGACCCAGCACCCACATGGTAACTAACAACCATCCACAACTCCAGTTCCAGGGGATCCAACACCTTCTGAACTCCTTAGGCATTGTGCAACACAGGTACCCTTACATACATGCAGGTAATACCCTCATACATAAAAAATAAAAAATAAGTGGGCTGGAGAGATGGCTCAGCAGTTAAGAGCACTGGTTGCTCCTGCAGAGGAGCCAGGTTCAATTCCCAGCACCCACATGGCAGCTACAAACTGTCCTTAACTCCAGTTACAGGGGAATCTGAAGCCCTCTTCTGACCTCCACAGCACTGCATGACACGGGTGCACTCACATACATGCAGGCAATACACTCATACACATAAAAAAATAAAAAATAAAATAAAATAAAAATTTTTTTAAATTAAAAAAATAAGAATAGGCTGGGCATGGTGGCACGTTAAAATAATTTATCAATACTATCCCAAGCTAAGCATGGGGACACATATCTGTAATCCTAATAATCAGTAGGCTGAGGCAGGCAGCTCATAAGTACAAAGCCAAGTTGAGCTAAATGTCAAGCCCCTGCTTAAAAAAAAAAAAAAAAAAAAAAAAAAAGTAAAAATATTTTTTTAAATACACTATCCCTAAAAAGCAAAATAAAATCAAGAAACTTTTCTTTACAAAATTATTTTAGATAGAAAACCCATAAGGTAATTTGTAGGAAAATTCCTTTGATATATTTACCCATTTACTAGTTGTTTTTAAAGACTGAAACCTAACATACCTCCTCCTATATAGAGCACTGAATTTGCAACAGTCAACATGGATGCATATACTAGAACAATGAACATCTATCTATATATAAAATACATGAACTCTTTAAAACACATGCCTAAAAAAAATATATAGGAAAAAACTTGAAAAGAGAAAAGAAAAATCTTATGCCAATACAGTACAAAAGGGCAAAAAATAATAGGATAGATGTTAGGACAGCTTTTCCTGAGGTGATATATGTGAGGACAAATATTTGATAAAGAGAAAGTTACACAGAGATGGAGAAACAAGATGAAGATGCAGAGTAAGAACATATATAAACAGAGATATAAGCCTCTAAAGCAAGTCTGGGGCCTCAATGACACAGAATGTAATGTCTTTGTTTAACAGCAGTAGTCTATGAATCCCATGTAGGAAGTTCAAGGATTCTAAGAATAGGGTTTGAAGGGGATGGCAAGATGACTCATTAGGTAAAGGTGCTTCTGGCTGAGCTTGACAACCTTAACAGATTTTCCCTTAAGTTGTCCTCTGATCTCCACATGTACACTGTGGCATGCATATGCTTCCCCCAAACCCCTGGACAAAATAAATACATGTTTTTTTGGGTTTTTTTGGTCTTTTTGAGTGCTGGGATTAAAGGCGTGCACCACCATGCCCGGCCTAAATACATGTTTTTTTTAAAAAATGGGCCTTGCGGGCATTGTACAACACGGGTGCACTTACCTACATGCAAGCAATACACACATACACATAAAATAAAAATAATAAATAACATTTTTTTAAAAATGCACCTTGGCCAGGCATGGTGGTGCACACCTTTAGTCCCAGCACTCGGGAGACACAGGGAGGCGAATCTCTGTGAGTTCGAAGCCAGCCTGGTTTACATAGCAAGTTCCAGGCCAGTTGGGACTACAGGGAGACCGTCTCAAAAAGACCAAAAAAAAAAAAAAAAAAAAAAAAAAAAAAAACCCCAAAACCTTTATTTTTCATAATTTAAAATTGTCAGCCAATGTCTTTAATTGATAGATCAATCAAGAAACTATTGGAATGAGGACTTTGGAGTAAAGAAGGATAATAGAGACACTATTAGCTTTCATTATAATCTATGAAATATCACTTGACTATAAATTTCAATTAAAAAATTTTAAATTGAACACTAAGATATATTTGGGCTTAAGATACATTAAGTTACTTAAAACTTGTGCCTTTATTCCTTTAGTTGAGATACATAAATGTACTATAAATTTAAAATACAAGTGTGGTCTATGCCAACTCCACCAAATTTTCTGCTTTTTTTTTTTTTGGTTTTGTTTTCCTTTTTTGTTCATTTTCAGGTAAGAGTCTCATCCAAGTTTACCACAAACTAAAAATTCAGAATAAATCTCTTCTGTTAATTAATTCTACTTACATAAATATTGTAACATCCTAAAATATAACCACAATTAAAATGTAGTCGACTGTCCATATCCATATGTTCCACACTCAAGGACACACTTCAACCAACTGCAGATCAAAAATATTTAGGAAAGAACACTGTACCTACACTGAATATATAGAGATAATTTTTGCCATTATGGCCTTAATAATACTATATAGCAACTACTTCCATAGCGCTTACATTATATTAGATATCATAAGTAATCTAGAAGTGATTTAAAGTATATAGGAGAGCAGGGTGGTAGTGGCACATACCTGTAACCCCAGCACTTGGGTCAAAGCAGGAAGATAAGATTAAGAGACCAACCTCATAGTGAATTCCTGGGCAGCCTGGGCTATGGGCTACATAATAAGATCCTGTTTGTTGTTGTTGCTGCTGTTGTTTTTTAAAGAGGGGTTACTATACTGGGTTGTATGCAAATAAATTCCATGCCATTTCATAAAAGGAACTTGATCCCTGCAGACTTTGGTATCTAAGGAGAACCTGAAATCCACCCTTCACAAATACAGAGGAACTTTTGACAAGTTCTGACATGGTCCAATAAAATCATCTAATTGTCTGGCTCACCATGAATCTATCTTTGTTCCCCTCACAATGCTGAAAAAAGAAGAAACATTTCCTACAATAAAAATTCAAAGAAATATGGCATTATTTAGAGCAAATGCCTCATTTTAAATAGGTAAAAACTCTAGTACTAACAAGGTATTTTAAATAGAAAGTTTCTATGGGAAATCAGAAATTACCACATTATTATATTGGTGAATGAGATGAATATATCAGTCAATATTTAATTAAGTAAAGCATGCAGATAGCAACTAGAGAAAAATTTACAGGAGACAGCCAAACATCTAATTAGCTAAAAATTAATTTACCATACACACCATACAAATTTAAAAGATGAACACACGCAACATACAAGCAGACTTTATTGGTTACAATAGTAAATGAAGAGAGTTTCTGGAACACATCAACTATCAATCCTGGGGTAGCACCTGCAGATTTGATCTCTTCTGCCCTTTTAAAGTAAAAAAAAAAAAAAAAAATTAATTTCTTTTAAAAATATTTATGCTGGGTGTGACAGCACACACTTTTAATCCCAGCACTTGAGAGGCAGAGGCAGGTGAATGTCTGTGAGTTCGAGGCCAGCCTGATTTACTTAGTGAGTTTCAGGCCAGCTGGGGCTACCGAGGGCCCTGTCTGAAAAGGACAAAAAATTTTATTTACTATTTTTATTTTCTGTGTATGAGTGCTTTGCCTAAATGTGTAAAAGTGCACTTGTGTCATGCAGCGCCTGCAGAGGTCAGAAGAGGGTTTCGGATCCCCTGGAACTGGAGTTAGGAATGGTTGTTAGCTACCATGTGGGTGGTTTGGAATTGAACCCAGGTCCTCTGCAAGAGTAGTCAGTGCTCTTAAACACTGAGTTGTCATCACTCCAGACAGGTACAGTAGCTCACACTTGTAATTAAGCTCACCCATGATCACCCATGATTTCAAAGCCATCCAAGTCAGTGATGCCTCTTTGGGGAGTCTCACTAGATACAAACTGGCCTCTATGTGACCCTCCTGCCTCAGCCTCCTAAATGCTGGGACTACAGGCTGTGCCATCAAATCCAACATAAATCCCTTTTTTCCCCTTCTTCCCTCCAATATATATTACCTCATATATTCTTAATTTTGGTTACCCTTTTGCCTTTTAACTCTAACATTCTAGTCAGAAACCTGGGAACTATTCTAGATGTCTTATTCCCTTCTTCCAATTTGTTCTGCTGATTTTCCTGCTTAAAAATAAAACTATTCTTCCCTGTGGCTCCAACATTCTCCAGATGCTAGGCTATCCTTATCTTTTTCTCTGGACACCAACAGCTTCCACTCCCACCCCCACTGTCTATCCCATTGCCACATAAACATGACCACTTCACATTTCACAAAGTTATCAATATTTATCAAAAATAGGACTTCCTAAAAATTAAGTCTTTTTGAGACAGGGTCTCCCTGTAGCCCCAGCTGACCTGGAACTCGCTATGTAGACCAGGGTGGCCTCGAACTCACAGAGATCCGCCTGCCTCTGAAGTCTTTTAAAAATAGACTAAAGCTG